ATGGTAGGCAAGCTGTCTACAACTGAACTATACTCCTGGCCCTTCTTGGTTTATTTTTGAGATATAGTCTCACTTAGTTACCTAGGCTGGCCTCAAATTTGTAATCCTCCTGCCTCAGCCTTCCAAGTAGCTGGAATTACAGGCCTGTACCACCATGCCCAGCTACTTTCTATTGTCTTCATGGACTGTTACTGGCCTTACCACAGTTGCACTGCCCTGGGATCACTCAGCATCAGTAGGCTCATGTTTCGGGTGTGTTTGTGATCGATTTTCCTTTCTGAAAGCTGGCAGTTGTTTTTTTTTTTTCTCTCTCTCTCTCTTAGGTGGTAGTTGACACAGCACAGATTGAAAATAAAGAAGCCTATGCCCCCCAAATCAGTTTAGAAGGCTCCAGAATCGTGGTTCAAGTCCCATCTACATGGTAACTTGACTCTTATATTATACCAGAAGCCTAAGCTGTGATTGAAGTTTGCACGTCTTTGAAATGATTGCTTTGTTTGAACAAGCCCAGTGTTGGCTGACACAGCAGGTCTTGTACGTGTGTGGGGTTACGGGAAGCAATGGCGTGTTAGTAGCATATGGCATCATTGTTGGTCTATGATCAGGAAGCCAAGATGTCTGCAAAATACCCTTATTGGCCATATGTTAACTGAAATACCATACTCTTAGGTCATGATCTTCATCACTGAGTTTAGAAGTTTTAAACTTTCTGTATCATTTTCTCTGAATCACCTATTATTTCTCTAAAGTTGAGTAGAGAGCATAGAATTTCTTCTTTTCCTTTGTCGATTCCAGCTACAACCCTGATGGTCTTTATCTTTCTGGGAATTGAAACTAGAGGCACACCCCTACTGAGCCACATCCTTATTCCCTTTTGAAATTTTTAAAATTTTTGAGGTATGGTCTTGCTAAGTTGCCAAGGCTAGCTTCAAACATGATCCTCCTGCCTGAGCTCAGGAGTTGCTAGTTTTAGAGGCATGTGCCACCACGCCCAGCATCCCTGATGGCCTTGAGCCTCATGTCTATTAAGTACCCAGAATCATTGCAAATCTGTGGACAGGGTTCTTTTTACTTATTAATTACATTTGTAACATAATAGATAAAGGATTATTGAAGGTTTTTGTGGGTGGCTTTTTGAGGTACTGGGGGTTGAACCCAGGTGTGCTCTACTACTGTGCTATATCCACAAAACTTTTTTTTTTCCTTTGGTACTGAGGATTCTGGGGTGCTTACCTACTGAACCAGCCACATTCCCAGCCCTTTTTATTTTAGTCAGACAGGGTCTGACTATGTTGCTGATGGCACTTTGAACTTCAGATCTTCCTGCCTCAGTCTCCTGAGCTGCTGGGATTATAGGTGTGCATCATTGCACCTGGCCACAGCCCTTCCAATTTTCATTTTAGGATCTTCCTAAATTGTCTAGGCTGGCCTCAAATTTACAATCATTTTATCTCTGCCTCCAGAATAGCTGAAAATGGACAAGGAGGTGGGTATGTTGGTATATACCAAAAATTTTAAGTCCTTGGAAGGCTGAGGGTCTGGCTTAGTAATGGAATACCCCGTGTTCAATCTCTAGTACTGAAAAAAATAAAGAAAAATGGACAAGATACCTGATGAAGCAAGGCAGGAAAGAAGAGATATTATCAACAAATAGATGAAGAAAATGTGTAACCTCATCTAATAATCAAGGGAAGACAAAGACACCATATGATGCCATTTTGCCCAAAATGTTTGTCTTAGAAAAACAACTAAATATTGTGACAATACTGGTTTGGGCTACACTACATGAACAGGCATTGTTAAATGGAGAATAAATAACAGCTTTTTTGGAGGACAATTTAATGCATCAGAAGCCTAAAATCAGGGATATGACTTCAGCAGTTTCACAATTCCTCCACTAGGGATTTGTGCATACAGATTTGGCTGTAAAGATTGACATCATAGCTTTGTTAATAGCAAATGTTTTCTAATATGTTTAATTTTTGCTATTAAAAATTGTAGCAAAAATGGGTGAATACTTAATTATAGAGGAAATAGTTAAATCATTTAAGTAGGAAGAGACTGATGTCTACACAGAGTAAAGTAGTAATTGGGCAATGCATACAATTTATATTTAAATCATTTGGGGTGTGTAGTGGGGTAGGGGGAGCTGTTATGTGTTGCTGGGGATGAATCCAGGGCCTGCACTGGCTAGGCAAGTATTTTACCACTGAACTATGCCCCCAGTCCAAAACTGTTTATAAACTAGGGGGCAGGAGGGTACTGGTGACTGAACCCAGGACTATATCCCCAGTCCTTTTTATTCTAAATTTGAGACAAAATCTCACTAAATTGCTTAAGGCCTTGATAAGTTGCTGACTTTAAACTTGGGAGCCTCCTGCCTCAGCCTTCAGAGCAGAGTTCCTGGGATTACAGGCATGCACCACCACACCCAGTATACTTGAATTATTTATTTTTGAACCATGAGAGTGCAATGGTAGATTCTGCTAAAAGTGTTTAGAACTATTGATGTAGTAAGTGAGGGTTAGCAGTTCATTTTGTGTGTCTCCAAATCTTCCTTCTATGAGTATGCTCCTGCCAAAATTTTAATTTGATTGTTCAGGTGGTTTATTTTCCTGAAATTAATAGTAATTTTTATAGGTACATATCTTCATTTCTTTTTTTTTAAAACATTTATTTTTTTAGAAGTAGTTGAACACAATACCTTTATTTTATTTATTTTTATGTGGTGCTAAGGATTGAACCCAGGGCCTCGCATATGCTAGAAGAGTGCTCTACCGATGAGTCACAACCCCAGCCCCACATATCTTCATTTCTATCAAACAATAAATTAAAAGCTCACTTCCCTACTTTTCTATAAGATTTTGGAGTTCCTGGATTCCTAATTCAGTTTTCCAATTCATGTTCTCATTAAATGCCTGAACCCTGGTAGTGCAAGCATGTAATCCCAGGTACTTCAGAAGCTGAGGCACACAGTCAGTCAGCCTGGGTAATTTAGTGAGACCCTATCTCAAAATAAGGACTGGTTGTAGCTCAGTGACAAAATGCTTGACTAGCATGTATGAGCCCCTGGATTCAATCTACAAAAACAAAAAACAACAACAAAAAATATATTCTAATTGAAAAATATTAAACTTTGTAAGGATTCTTTTTATTTTTTAATTTTATTTATTTATTTATTTATTTATTTTAGCTGTTGATGGACCTTTATTTTATTCATTTATTTATATGTAGTGCTGAGGATAGAACCCTGTGCCTCACAAATGCTAGGCAAGTGCTCTACCACTGAGCCACAGCCCTAGCCTCAGGATTCTTATTTTGAGGAGGACAGATCGAACTTTCATATAGTTGGGCGAATATAGACAGCTAGTATTAAGAAAGTTAGCACTTCTGGATTTTCTTCCAGAACTTCATTCCTCCTATCTCCCCCCATTGATTTCCTATGTAATTCACTACATCTCCCAGAAAAAAAAAAAAAAAAACAACTTTTTGAGTGTGATTCCTTGTAGAGACTCCCTCTGCTGGTAGGCTTTGGTAAAGATGCAAATTATAAAGGTTTTTGTTTCTTTGAAATTATAGGTTGAGATGTATATATTATCTGAAATGCTTGGGGCTAAAAGTGTTTTGGATTTCAGATATTTTTGGAGTTGGGAATGTTTGGATGTGCATATAATGGGATATTTTGAGGACAGAACCCAAATCTAAACATAAAACTCATGTGTCATATACACCTTATACGCTTAACCTAAAGGTAATTTTATACAATGTATTTAGTGTGCCTAATTTTCAGGTATAGAATTTTCAACTTGTGTTGTCATATTGGCACTCAAAAAATTTCGGATTTTTGACCATTTCAGATTTTTGGATTAGGGATGCTCAACCTGTACAAATTACGTGATTGTTGAATGCAAACAGAGTGATTAATTTACTATGTCTTTGAAAAGATAAGACTTACAAAGCAAGTCAAGAGTTTATTATATTCTCTGCTGTTAGTGTTCAGTTGCCAGATGATGTTTTTGATGTTTTCTCTCTCTCTTTCTTTTTTTTTTTTTTTTTTTTTTTGGTGCTAGTGATTGAACCCAGCAGTGCTTTACCACCAAGCTATAGTCCCAGATTTTTTTATTTTTTATTTTTATTTTGAGGAAAGGTCACACTAAATTGATTAGAGCATTACTAAAGTGCTAAAGCTGGCCTCAAACTTGTGATTCTCCTGCCTCAGCCTCCTGGGCAACTGGGATTACAGGCATGCACCACTATGTCTGGCTCAAATGATGTTTTTTCCCCAAAGAAATACTTTACTTATATTTTTAAGTTGTCATATATTTTGTTTAAGGTATCTATCCATTCTTTTTTTTTCCCCAAAAAATATTTACCGAACACCTTCTGTGTACCAGGCATTGTTCCTTTCTTTGGGATTTAATCACGAGCAAGACAGAGTTCTTGCCTCTCACAGAACCTATGTTGTAATGCTAATAAGCATAAGAAGTGAGTCCAAGCACTAGCAAGTGTATGAGGGACAAATGAGGAGAGCCAGGTTATTTGCTAGAGAATAATTGAGGTAAAGGAGGAGAGGAGACTGGTAGATGGTGAGGTTAGTCAGGAAGGGCCTCTTTGAGGATGTAGTAGGATTTGATAGGAGCTGGCCATACTGAGAGCAGGGGGGGAAGGCAGCCAAAAGGGAGACCTGGGGAGTAAACTTGCATGGTTAGAGATGGTGGTGATAAAGAGGGGGAACAGGTCAACATTTGCAGGGCCTTGGGGGATATGAGGTTTTTATTTAAGTATAGGTGAAGAGTTTTAAACAAGTCTTGGTGATTTGTCCACAGATCAGGTTTGATCTCAAGGGCATATTATTGATCAGCTCTCAAGATTAATAAATTAATTAAAAATGCCAATTTGTGTTTTTTTTTCTCCCAGAAAGAAAAATTATTACCACCAGGAACTATAATGCTCCATTTTGCAATGACACCAGCATCTAGCAAATGATCTCTTAGTGGGCAAAATCAGTGACAAGCCAAATCACAATCTGAAGTCAGCTTGGGAACATAGAGCAAATGTGTCCTGATAGTTAGTGATTCCAGGCTGAGAGAATTGGGTGCACTGAACTTTGGCCTGTTCCAGTGATCAAGATTATCACCCAGGAGTCTGAGGTCTGCTTGGGCACTAGCAGGGCTTGCCTTGTTGCTTACCTTTTCCTGAGCTTCTAGCTATCTACCTCTCATCCCCAGATATATTTCTTCTCAAGCCAAGTAATGTTGGGTAGTACTGCTGCCCCCTTAGGGTGGCCTTACAATTGCTTATTTCACATCTGGCTCCCAGAATGCCCAGAAACTGGCCAACAGCATCTTCTTGGTGGACTGTATTCTCTCAGAAAGACCTCTTGCCTGAACATGGTGGCACACATCTATTATCCCAGTGCTTTAGGAGGCTGAGGCAAGAGGATCAAAAGTTCAAGGCCAGCCCACAGCAACTTAGTGAGACCCTGTCTCAAAAGAAAAAAATTAAAGAGATGGGGATGTAGCTCAGTGGTTAAGCAGCCCCTGGCATGGACACCCACAAAAGGGCCCCTTAGTCAAAGTGCCCTGAGTGGTGAAAAGCAGTTTGCCATATCAAGATCTCAAGGAAAAGCAGTCCAGGCAAAGGCAGCAGCAAGAACAAAGATCCTCAGGCATGTGCAAACCCACTCAGACAGAGCTTTAGGGACAAGGTAGAGGGGCCGGGTCACACAGGGCCTTGAGAGCTATAGTGAGGGGTTTAGATTTTATTTCATTCATGATGAGATGCTGTTGGAATGTTTTAAGCAGAGTGTGATGTGATCTGATTTGACTCACTCTGGCTGCTGTGTGAAGGATGCACTTTAGAGGGGCAGGAATAGAGAAAAATAGATTAGATAGAAACTAATTCCTGAGGCAGGAGGTGGTGGTTTCCTGGAGCAGGGCAGCAATAACAGATGTAGTGAGAAGTGCCTGGATTCAAAGTACATTTTGGAAGACAAGCTCTCAGGATTTGCTGATGGGTTGGTTATAGGGTGTGAGGGAGCTAAAGATGATTTGTAGGTTTTGAAGTGGACATTTGTGTCACTTTTATACTAGAGAAGTCTGTAGGAATCAGGATAGCTTTGGAGGGAGAGGGGTGTGAGTTGTACTGATTAGGTTACCTCTCTCTGAGGAGAGAGAACAAAAAGCAGGAACATTATACCATACAGAGGTGGTAGGGGAGGAGAGGCAGGAGCAGGAGGAGTCACCAGAGGAGACCAGAAAGGAGCTTTCTGGATGGAAGAAAAATGGAGCAAGCCTGGGGCACTGAAGATAATGTTTCTGGGAGGAGAGAAACATTAGAAAATGTTGCCGAGAGATTAAGCAACATTTTGGAGACCCTGTTTTCATTAGCTTTTATCACTGTGACCAAACTATCTGACAAGAACAACTTTTTCCCAGTTTCAGAGGTCTCAGTCCATACATGGCTGACTTCATTGCTCTCTACCCAAGTGAAGCAGAACATCATGGTGGAAGGGTGTGGCAGAAGAAAGCAACTTAGGACATGTCAACTGAGAGAGAGAGACAGAGAGAGAGAGAGAGAGAGAGAGAGAAAAAAACATAAAAACACACTCCCCCAACCAGAAACAAAATATAAACCTCAAAGACATGCCCCTAGTGACCTACTTTCTGTAACCACACCTTGCCTGCCTACAATTACCACCCAATTAATCCAGTAAGTGGGTTAATCCACTGATTAGGTTACTGCTTGCATAATTCAATCATTTCATCTCTGCACTTTTGTTGTTGTTGTTGTTTTGGAACCAGATATTGAACTTAGGGGCACTCTGCCCCTGAGCCACATCCTCAGCCCTATTTTGTATTTTATTTAGAGACAGGCTCTCTCTGAGTTGCTTAGCACCTTGCTTTTGCTGAGGCTGGCTTTGAACTTATGATCCTCCTGCCTCAGCCTCCCAAGCTGCTGGGATTACAGGCATGCACCACTGAGCCCAGCCATCTCTGAATATTTTTGCATTGAGCTTTTGAGGGATACCTCATATCTAAACCATAGCAAGATCTAAGTTGGCTTTTAAAAACCTATCTTAAAGGGCTGAGGTTGTGGCTCAGTGGTAGATCACTTGCTTGGCATGTGTGAGGCACTGGGTTAGATTCCCAGCGCCATATATAAATATATGAATAAAATAAAGATCATCAACGTCTAAAAAAATTTTTTAAAAGCTATATTAATTGAGTTAGAGTATACAATTCTGATGGGAGTGGAGCAAAAGAAGAATAGGAAGTAAGGAAGAAAAGAGTGCATTTACTCGTGGGGAGTAGAAAAATGGGACAGTACCTGGGGAATGTGGGGCTGAGAGGGTGATCAGAGAGGCTGCTTTCTTTGCCTCCTAGGGAGTGCCACAGGGGAATAAGCTGATCATATAATCTTTGGGAATGCAAAAGGGCACACAGTATCCAGCACTCGTTTGGAGGGCTAAACTATGGCAAAAGCAAGTTGTGCCTTACAGTAGGACAGGAGGGAAAACAAGCATGTGGACAGATGCAGGTGAACTAGTGGAATTACCAGAAAGTGAAGGTGAGGTGGATCTCCTCTGCTAACTTGCATTTTCTTAGCTTAGTAAGAGTTGAGACAGATGAGAATGGAAGAGGTAACAGGGATGTCAGATCACTGTGGAGAGGGGAAGGGTGTGAAATAGTCATCTTAAAAAGAAGTAAGCTGGGGTTGTGGCTCAGTGGTAGAGTGCTCCCCCTAGCACGTGCAAGGCCCTGGGTTCGATCCTAAGCACCACATAAAAATAAATAAATAAAGGTATTTTTTCCCAACTACAACTAGGAAAAAAAAAGGTAAAATTAGCTGGGCACACCTGTAATCCCATCAGTTTGGGAGCCTGAGGCAGGAAGATCATGAGTTCAAAGTCAGCCTCAGCAAAAGTGAGGTGCTAAGCGACTCAGTGAGACACTGAGCAACCCAGTGAGACCCTGTCTCTAAATAAAATACAGAATAGGCCTGAGGATGTGGCTTGGAGGCAGAGTGCCCCTGAGTTCAATCCCAAGTACCACAACCCCCACCCCCAAACTAAAAGAGGAAAAATTAATTTATGGAGGTCATGTTTGTTGTTTGCCTAAAATTTGCAGTGAGTTCAAGTTACAAACTGTGAGCAAACTTTTCCTCCACTGACTTTGTCTTTGATACAAGTATCCAATTTTGTAGAAGGAAGGAGGGGCAGAAGCATTATGGAAGAGTTTGGAGAGGAGCAGATAATTGTGCCAGACCACAGAATCTCATCAGGGCAAAGAGAAAAGTTAGTATTATCCTGGGTGTTGGATAGTAAGAGGACATTAGGCCTCCTGAAGTCATCTCCTTCACCAAGTTCTTCTCTTCCTACTCAAAAGACAGTCATAGATAGCAATCCACGGAGGTCTACAAAGTCCTGTACTCACACAACACTTTTGACACTGAATGTGTGAGTTTTCTACACCAAGCAATTCTCCAGTTTTCTGCAGATACTGGTTAGCCTACATTTTAATGGTGACACTAAGTACCTGGAGTGGCACAGAGCCCATAGGTTAATGCTCAGCCCACAGGCTGTTTCCCATTTCAAACTCCAAGTGTAAGCCTATTACAAGTTGGGGTTACATTTATTGGTTTATTATAAAGGATATTACAACAGTTACAGATGAATAGCCAGATGTTCAGAGATCTATTGAGCAGTATATAGAGGAAGGGATGCAGAGCCTCCAGGCCGTATCCAACTATGTCTTCCTCCTAGCATCTGGATGTGTTCACCAACATGGAAGCTCTCCAAACATATAGTTTAGGAGTTTTTGGTGGCTTTATCATATAGGAGTGATTGATTACTAACTCAGTCCAGAGCTCTCCCTCTCCTGTCTCCCAAGATAGAGGACAGAAGTCACAACCTTCTCATCGTGACTTGATCTTTCTAGTGACCAGTCCCCACCTGAAGCTATTCAGGAGCCCACCAAAAGTGATATCATAGCCAGGCATAGTGACACACACCTGAAATCCCAGTTCATCAGGAAGCTGAGGCAGGAGGATCAGAAAGTCAGTGCCATCCGGGCAGCTTATTAAGACCCTGTCTCAAAAATAAAATCAAAGCCAGGCACAGTGGTGCATACCTACAATCCCAGCAGCAACTCTGTGGGACCCTATCTCTAAATAAAATACAAAAAATGGCTGGGGATATGACTCAGTGGTTAAGTGTCCCTGAATTCAATCCCCAGTATATTTAAATAAATAAATGAATAAATAAACAAACAAATAGGCTGGGGATGTAGCTCAGAGGTAGAGTGCCCCTAGGTTCCATCTCCAGTACCTTTGGGGTCGGGAAAAGTGTCCTCACTAGAATAGAAGACATCTTGTCACCCTGGAAATTTTAAGGGATTTAGGATATCTGTGTCAGGGACCAATGTCAGAGACCAGACACCAGAATAAAAGCTGCTCCTAGCACCCCAATCAGAAAGTGACAAAAATTTTAGGAGTTCTCTGCCAGAAACTGGAGGTGGAGACCAAATATAGGCAGATGGTCTCCAACTTATTTGTTCAACTTAAGAATTTTTTCAACTTTATGATGGTGTGAAAGTGTACCCATACAACCATTCTATTTTGTTTTTCACTTTCAGCACAGTATTCAGTAAATGACATGGATAGTTACTATTTTATTTTAAAACAGGCTTGTGGTAGATGTTTTTGTTTGGTTGGAAGCTAATGTAAATTCTCAACATATTTAAGATACACTAGACTAAGCCAATCTATAATGTTCTTTATATTAAATTGTATTAAATGTATATTGCATATTTGACCTACAATGTTTTCATCTCAAAATGAGTTTATCGGGATGTAACCCCATCATAAGTCAAGGAGCATCGTTATTTCTTATTATATCACAAGATCCCAGGTGCTATTGATTCTTCCCCCTTGTGCAGAGCAGTAAGTTCCAATGTAAGCCTAGTTGTTCTCTCATTATTCTTATAATTATTGATTTTTCACTGGATGCCAAGAGGGCATAAAAGATGTAGCCTTTTCCTTGAGGCTTTCTTAAAACACCTTTGCAAAAAAGTGCAGCTAAGACTAATGCAGCCTGGTTTATGCCTAGGTGCCTGAAAGAAGACCCTGCTACTATGTCTCTGCTGCAGAGAAGCCTCGATCCTGAGAAGACCCTGGGTCTGGTGGATGTGCTTTACACAGCTGTGTTGGACATAAACCGCTGGAGGGCTGGGAGGTTGGTGTCTGCAGCAGTCGCTTGAATTGGCTGTGCAAGTGGTTTGTGTTGGGTCCATACCCACTGACAGTGTGACTATGTACAGTTTCATGTGTGTTCATGTCACTGATAGTATGTGGGTAAATAAGGCAAGAAAGAGAACTTTTGGGTAATATTTATCTTGGAATAAGTTCAAACCTCTATATTGGACTGGGGATGTAGCTCAGTAGCAGAGCATTTGCCTAGTAAGTGCAAGGCCCTGAGTTCAATCTCTAATACTCAAAAAGTTGTAGAAAAGTTGCAAGAATTGCTCTTTGCCTTTTACCCAGAGTATCCAATTTGTTAACACTTTGCCTTTATTATTTGTTTTATCATGAGAGTAAATCCATCAAGATAACCTTTAACCCAACTCATATTCTCCTTGTGAACTAAGAGCAGAGAAATGTTAAGAAAATTTACTTATAATCTTCACACAATTTACTTATATCTGAAGGCAGCTGACAGCTGGAAGATTATCTTTTTTGTGAATTGTTAGTTTTAGAAGAGGTAGATATCTTAAACATTTAGCCACGTCTCCTCTCTGTTAACTCATGAGTACCCAGAGGGTCTGAACAGTGAAATGATTTCTCCAGGATCACACCCGCTATCACCTGCCTCAGCTCCCACCCCATGCCCTTTCTAACTGTAGTGTTCCCTTTTAGTACAGGAAAAAATGTTCAAAAATCTTTGGAAGCAGCATCTATCCATTTGATAATAGCAATCATAGTATCCCCCAAGTCCTCTCCTCCACCCCCTGCTATGTAGGATTATGCATTGTCCTTCTGCTGAATCTCATTCTCAGTCTCCATCCTGCAGGCACAGAGTTATCCCTTTGTTCTTATATCCCTACCTCTCTCATGCTTTGCTGTCCAGTGCTACAGTTAAAGAGTTTCATTCAAATTCCTGAGCCAGAATTCAATGTTACTCATTTTCACATTCCTGTGTTAGAACACCATAGAATATATATACTCAAACCCTTGGGTGTTCACTTTTTTTAGATCTGTAAAATAATGAACCTGATACCAGAGAGGTCTTTTTTGTTCTCAAAATTTTTTTTATTTTGGCAATGCTGGATATCAAATCCAGGGCCTCACTTATGCTTAGGAACCAGTTTTTCTTAAATGCAAAAAGGTCCATTTAGGACTAGAGTTGTAGCTCAGTGGTAGAGGGCTTGCCCAGCATATGCAAGTCCCCAGTTCTGCCAAAAAAAAGAGAGGTCCATTTCATCCATCTCATTAACCAATTTGTATATTTGTCTCAACCCCTATCCCCTACCCCCATTTAAATAGGGAACAAGCTTTACCCTGCATACAGATACAACTTCAAAGGGAGATTTGTGATTTTGGGAACCAGGCTGACCTGCCTTCTGGAAATGGAAACAAGTCTTCAGGTGGCCTGCAGAAGACATTCTCCAAACTGACATCCAGGTTCACCAAGAAAGTTTCATGTACCAGCTCTAGTGGCAGCACAAATTATTCCATCCCAAGTACCCCTTCCAAAAATGTCTTCATAGCTGGGTGTTCGGAAGAGAAGGCCAAAATGCCTGGTAACATTGACACACGGTTACAAAGCATTTTGAACATTGGTAATTTTCCTAGGACTACAGACCCTTCACAGTCAGCTCAGAATTCCAGTAATCCAATGGCCAATGGTTTTCTCCTAGAGAGGCGTGAGAACTTCCTGCCTGGGGATGATGGCAAGGATGACAAGGGTATGAACTTGCCAACTGATCAGGAAATGCAGGAGGTGATAGACTTTCTCTCAGGCTTTAACATGGGCCAGTCGCATCAGGGTTCCCCATTGGTGACAAGGCGTAATTCTGCTGCAACAGCCATGGTGACTGAGCAGAAGGCAGGAGCCATGCATCCACAGCAGCCATCATTGCCGGCGCCCCCTTCATCACGGCCACCACAGGCTGGGGCACACGCAAGTCTGACATCCCAGCCAGGTTTGGCATCTCAGCAGCAGTCCCCAAAGCAACAACAACCCCAGGTCCAGTACTACCAACACCTGCTTCAACCCATTGGACCACAGCAGCCCCCACCCCAGCCTCGGGCACCTGGGAAATGGGTACATAGCTCATCCCAGCAGCCAGCACAGCCTGTTGGAGCAAATCTGTCTCCTCTTGGTCAGTGGCCTGGCATATCTGATCTCAGTTCTGATTTGTACAGCTTGGGCCTAGTGAGCAGCTACATGGATAATGTGATGTCAGAGGTTTTGGGACAAAAACCACAGGGACCTAGAAATAACACCTGGCCAAACCGTGACCAAAATGATGGAGTCTTTGGAATGTTGGGAGAGATTCTGCCTTTTGATCCTGCAGGTATGTGAGGCTTCCTTACTTCTCACCTCATTTAAACATAAAATGTGATCTCTTGAGAACTTCTCTGGGCCTGTCTGCTACAGCCTTACATATGAAAGTGAAATAACTTAATCCCCCTTTAAGACCCTTTATCATTGTCTGGAGGCAAGTACAGAGCAGATCCTGCAAGAGTGGAAAGCAGTAATGAGGAAGAGGCTGAGAAGGAAAGTGCAACTATTTTTTACATTATAGAGGACAGAACTGAGGTTAAGAGAAGTTACGTGAGGGGCTGGGGTTGTGGCCCAGCGGTAGAGCACTTGCCTAGCCTGTGTAAGGAACTGGGTTCAATTCTCAGCAATACATAAAATAAATAAACAACAAACAAATATATATATTGTATCCATCTATAACTAAAAAGAGAGAGAAATTGCTTGAATGGCTCATAGTCCCATATTTCAAGTGGCTCCAATCTGACTTGAAAGTCAATGCAGACAGCTCTTTGTGGTGCACTGTTTTCCTGACTATACAACATATTCTCATGCTTCTTTTTACCCAACTCTAGTGCCTGTTTAAGGTGGTAGAGGGCTGGGAATGTAGCTCAGTGGTAGAGCACTTGCTGAACATGTATCAAGCCCTGGGTTCCATCCCTAGGATCACCAGGGGGGAAAAAATATTTTAAGGTAGTAGAACACTTTCCTGCTTTATAGAATACAGTTTCTGGTGTAGACAGTGTGAGAATGCCACCAGAGTCATCTAAAAATTTTTGAGAAAGAACTTAAATACAAAACTAAAATAAACCAGGAAGAGGAATTAAGTTTAAAATCAAATTCGGATATGGGGATATAGCTTAGTTGGTAGAGTGCTTGCCTCACATGAATCATATTTCATTTGTGATGCATAGATACTTTCCTTCATATCTTTTTTTTTCTCCCAGGTGCTAGGGATTGAACCCAGACCCTTGAATACGCTAGACAAGCACCTTACTCTGAGCCCTCTTGTATCTTTTTGTTTATCACTTCTCCAAATGCTTTCTGTGTCTCCCTCTCCCCCGCACACACCCACACTTACACTGCCCTGCACATCCTTATTTAGCTCCATCTGGTATGTTTCTACCCGATTCTTATTGCATCCTGAAATATCTTATTACTTCCCACTCATATCATCTTCAAACTGAATGAGCAAGTCTGTTATCTAAAATATCCAGGAAAATACTGGATCGTAGTTTGGCTCAAGTGGGAATGGCATATAATCTCTATCTGTCTGACCCTGGCACTTTGATAACTTTTGGCTATTTAGTTGACCAAAGTCATCATCTGATTTTCTAAATTATTAGGTACTCTAGGTACGTAGCACCAGGACATTGGAAATGTTAAAAGTAACTAGTATTTGTCTTAAAAGGATAAATTAAACCTTTTTTCTGTCTTCCTTTCGCATTCAGCCTGCCTCACCTAGGCATAACCCTTCCTTACAGTCCCCTGCACAAACTGTATCCCAACTCCAGACCTGTATGCTAAAAGTCCCACCTTACTTTGCAGTTTGATATCCATAGTCTACAACTATCTGGGGCATGATGAGCCTCACCACTTTTCATGTGACCAGCACATTCTCAAAAGTTGGGGATGAAACAAGATGCCAGTTAAGATGCCTTAAATCCTGTTTGTTCCTTATCTCAACACAGTGGGCTCAGACCCAGAGTTTGCACGCTATGTGGCAGGAGTGAGCCAGGCAATGCAGCAGAAGCGGCAAGCCCAGCATGGTCGTCGTCCTGGCAACCCACGGGGCAACTGGCCACCCATGGATGATGCCCATCGGACCTGGCCTTTTCCAGAATTCTTTACAGAAGGGTGAGTACTGGGTACAGCCAGGAAGTTGAGTTTGAGATCTGGGTGTCCCAGATTGTTTCTGTGAGAAGGGAGACTCATTGGCCTTTGTGCATTCATATTAGGCAATTGAAATCCAACCTCCATATGAGAATGATATAAAGAAGTCTTAGGGAATCAGAGTTTTGTGACTGACTATAAAATGCCAGCTGGTATGATGTGTCCCTGTAAACACACTATTAGCATAAGTGTATGGTTTACCACAGACTCTTCCACTCAAGAGAAGAATTTCATATGATAACATTTATAAAGTGTTTATATGTTTAACATGGTCTTCTCTCTTCTTTTTTTTTTTTTTTTTTTGGTAATGAGAATTGAACACGGGTCACTAAGCCATATCCCGAGTCCTATTTTGTATTTTATTTAGAGACAGGGTTTCACTAGGTTGCTTAGTGTCTTACTGAGTTACATCCCACTTCACTTTTTGCTGATACTGGCTTTGAACTTAAGATTCTTGAGTCTTGGCTTCCTGAGTCACTGGAATTACAGGCATGCACCACTGCACCCAGCAACATGGTCTTTATACTCATTTCAACATAAAGCCCATGTTAAATGAGCATGGCTGTAAAACCCGTGTAAGTTATTAAGTACTATCATTATAACCTACAAAAAACAAAGGCATGGGTCTGGGGATATAGCTCATTTGGTTCAGTGTTTGCCTTGCACGCACAAGGCCCTGTGTTCAATCCCCAGCTACACACACAGACACACACACACAAAAAGGCAGGGCTGGGGTTGTGGCTCAGTGGGAGAGTGCTTACCTAGCATGTTAAGTCAGGGCTGGGGACACAGCTCAGTGATAGAGCACCAGGCCTAGTGCAAGGTCCTAAACACAATCCCAAGCTCTCCCCACCAAAAAAAAAAAAAAAACCTAGCAAATGTATGGTATATGATTCAGATTTTTAAGGGGATTATTGATTTATATAAAAAAACACATGGGGAAGCTATGGTTGTGGCTCAGCGGTAGAGTGTTTGCATGGCAAGTGTGAGGGCCTGGGTTCAATCTTCAGCACCACATAAAAATAAACAAAATAAAGGTATTGTGTCCAACTACAACTAAAAATTTTTTTTAAAAATGGGGGGCTGGGGTTGTGGCTCAGCAGTAGAGTGCTCGCCTAGCACATTTGAGGTCCTGGGTTCAATCCTCAGTACCACATAAAAATAAATAACTGTAACTAAAAAAGTATTTTAAAAATTTTAGGAAAAAAATGGGAATTTTTCACATCTCATATTGCTTACCTGGTTAATATGAATGGGAAAAGAGCATCTCAACTTTTTATTTCTCTAAATTTCATACACAAACCATAGGCTTCTGGGAAGAATAAAAGGAAGTGATAAAAAAATAAAACATGTATAACTTAATACACACATACACACACAAAACAAACAACAACAACAAAAACAAAAAGCATTTAAGGGAGAGAAAGAAAACTAAGTTTTTTGATCGGAGAGATAAGAGAGCACTGTTTGGTTGAGATGAGTACAGGTTAAGGACTGCTCTTTTAGGGCCTGAGTGGAGGGAGGCAGTTAAACTCAGAGCTGTCCATCTAGTGTCCAATCTGACTGTCAGAGGCCAGGGACCAGCTTTTCTCTTTGGCTTTCAGGGACGGCCTGCACAGCGGCTGGTCGGGTGCTCAGGGAGACTCAGCCAGCTCCAGTGATGAGACATCTTCAGCCAATGGGGACAGCTTGTTCTCCATGTTTTCAGGACCTGACCTCGTTGCTGCTGTCAAGCAGAGAAGGTATGAAGAGATTTCTAAATCAAGGAGTGGAGAGAAGGGCATATGAGTGTGACCCACAGTTCATTCCTCTAGAAAATTCAGGAAGCCCGTTATTAACTGCCAGCCTGCTGTATGAGAAAGGTAGAAGGGCTTTTCCAGCACCATCTCTTGTAAGGCCTCTAAAGAGTACCTTCAGAGCCAGGTACAACGGCAAGTTTGAGGCCAGCCTGGGCAATTTAGTGATATCCTATTTCAAAATTTGTTTATAAAAATATTTTTTAAAGGGATAGGGTTGCAGTTCAGTGGTAGAGTGCTTGCCTAGCAGGTAGGAAGCCCTTGTTTAGATCCCTAGAACTGAAAAAAAAAAAAAAAGAGGAGTTACTTTTGTTCTTTTGGTACTGGGGATTGAACCCAAGGCACGTAACTACTGTGCCGCATCCTAGCCCTTTTTTGTATTTTATTTAAAGACAGGGTCTCCTCACCAAGTTGCTTAGAACCTTGCTAAGTTGCTGAGGCAGCTTTGAACTCGCGATCTTCCTGCCTCAGTTTCCTAAGCTGCTAGGATTACAGGCTTGAGCCACTGTGCTTGGCTATTCATTGTTAGTTTCTTTCGGTAGCAGCTGTAGCATATTAGGTGATATGATAGCAAAAAAAAAAAAAAAGCCCTCTTCCTCATGGAAATAATTATATTCTCATTAGGAAAGGCAGATTCTAAAAAATGTCAGGTTAGTTTAGGTATTATGAAGAAAAATAAAGCAAGTGATGAGGATAGAACATAGGGAACAGGTGAATTTTCTGTTTTCAGAAGGGCAACTAGGGAGACATCGGATGAGCAGAGAGCAGAGGGCTTACCAAAGTGAGGGAGCAACTGGTGGGGCATTGGCAGTGAGGTGTATGTGAAAGCAGAATCAGGATGATAGAAAGTTCCGGGCCTGAGCTGCTATGTAGAGGGAGTACTGTGAACTGGGGTGGGAGAAATGCTGGAAGAGTGGGTTTGAGCCCAGGCTGGAGTTTAAGATTCTGTTCTAGACCTGTGGCTGATCAAACATCTAAAAAGTTACCTCTGTCACCAGCTCTGCAGACTCTGCTTGCCTGCAGGAGCACCAGCTCTGATCCTGATACATCCTGTCTTTTTCATTCAGTGTTGTTAAAACTAATGAATTTTGTTTTTAAGTTCCATACACCCCCCAGTGCATGGTAATTTATTGAAAAAATTAACAAAAAGTCAGAGCTGGTGGACTCAGAGCAGCTGAAGAAAGCCAGTGCCCATCTTTATGCCTTCCCTACCCAGTGCTGAGCTCTTTCTGCCCCTGAATTCAATGGACCCAAGCCCTTCTCACCTGGAACCAGGGCCTGGAGACCAGAGCTGTGCAGCTGGGATGACCCCTAGAATTAAGCTGGATAGAAAGCCAGGCAATCACTGCTCTAGGCTCTTGGTTCTTTCAGGAAACACAGCAGTGGAGAGCAGGAGACCAGCATGCTACCCTCACCGCCTCTCCTAACTACAGTGGAGGACATGAACCAGGTATTATGGGCTGGCTTATGATTAAGGCCATGGGCAAGAATCCACAGCTTCTGTTTTAAGGCCTCAAAGTCACAGTCTTCTTTGTGGTGAATCTCTTTTTCTCATGAGTTTATCTAAATAGTTAGCCATCTCAGCTGACTCAGAGCCACATATAGAAGAAGCTCTAGGGATATGATATCCATTACTTGCCACATGTGGCCGTTTATATTTAAATTAATTATAAATTAAGAACTGGGGGTGTAGCTCAATGGTAGAGTGCTAGATAACCTAGCATGCATGAGACCCCTGAGTTTAAACCCCAGCACTGCAAAAATAAATAAATAAATAAATAATTCGGTTCCACAGATGTACTAGCCATATATGATGGCAAGTGGCTACTATTATTGGATGGTGCAGGCATAGAGCATTGCTATCATTGTAAGAAGTTCCATTTGACAAGGCTGTGGGGTGGGCTAGGGCTTTCACCCTGCTCCTCGGTGTAAAGAAGAACCAGAGATCTGGGAAGGTGGGAAAAGGTGGTGAACCACCAAAAGTGCCACTAAGAACCCTCTTCTGTCCCTCAGGATAACAAAACCAAAACGTGGCCTCCCAAAGCACCCTGGCAACACCCTTCCCCACTGCCCAGCACACTGCCCAGCCCAAGTGCACCACTCTATGCAGTCGCCAGTCCCGGCAACCAGTGGAACGACACCATGCAGATGCTGCAATCTCCTGTGTGGGCTGCAACCAGCGACTGCAGTGCTGCCTCCTTCTCTTATGTGCAGACCCCACCCCAACCCCCACCCCCACCAGCACACAAGGCAGCACCCAAGGGCTTTAAGGCCTTCCCTGGGAAGGCTGAACGCAGGCCAGCCTACTTGCCTCAGTACTGACCCAGGGCCTTTCTTCCTGCCCACCCAGAGCTGTTGGGGTCAGTATTCCCACCCCAGGGCTGACTAGCTCATACCAGCCCCTCAGAGGACCAGTGCACCCCATCCCAGGAGGTTTCTTTGGGAACAGGGGTGATTGGCAGCTCCAAGCCTGGTTTCTGAAGACAGCAGACCCCTGGAGAGCCAGCTGGAGATAGATCACACTCAGGGGGTTGCTGGATAATCCGCATGCTTAATAAGCACCTGGAGTGATTATGATGCAGGTGGCCAGAGGCCACACTTTGAGAAACATAGTTCTGAGGTTATTAATCCTGCTATATGTTAGGAAGACATCGGGTCTGAAGGCCAAGAGCAAAACTGACCATTCTTATGAAACCCTCTTATTCCTCCTTAACACATTGAGTGGTGACCACACCCATCACTGATTTCATAGCTATTTTCATGTAGATTTTTAGCTAAAACATCTCCTGTCTAAAGTGCATTGAACATATTAAGATAACAGATATACCGGCTGGAGGTTTGCTCAACACTAATCTTTATTTAAGCACAAAAACAGGAAAACAGAATATTTATGATCAGAAGCAATCACCTGGGTTTTCTGTGGGTGAGCTGCCCCTTTTACCCAGAAACATCCAGGAATACAGATAGCCTTTGCCAGATTTACAAAAGCAGGATTATATAGCTGATGTCAGAAGTATATTCCTGACAGTGCATGAGGACGAGCCAGCAGGCTGCTGGTGTGTGCAAAGTAAGGCTTCACCTGCTGTCCTCAGATCCTTCCACACATGGCTGGAGGCATGAAGGGTCCTCAAAGTGGGGCAGTGTGGTCAAAGGGCTGCACAGAGACACCTGCACTAGAAACTGCAGTAACATTTGTGCGCTGGTTCAAAAGACAAACCAGTTAAGATGTAGATAAGAATTAAAGTCTTTTCTTTTAAAAAAGAAAATCCACCTCATTTTCGGTTAACATGTGCCATTAAAAAGATAACATCCTGTGGAATTAGGATATTTTCCAGCCAGAATGGATCCAGAAGAATTGAATGGTGCTTAAATTGAGAAATAATAATAAATATATCTATATAGAATAGACATATCCCACTGTAAATTAATTGAGGTTGCAGAAAGTTCTTTATATAAAACTTATTTAAATTTTTCATATTTCATCTTTGAAAAAGTCTAATTGAGAAAAATCCATGATATTTTCTGGTATGAAAGTTTGACAGTATTAATATTTTTTTTATATTTTCTTAAGTCATTAAACCATTTTAATATATGTTAACTACTAATAAATGGTTTATTCTTTCTAACTCCATATAAGCTTTTCCAGCAAAGATTGTAATAACACATTTATGTTCTCATTTTTCTACAGATATAAGTAAATTTCTATTTAAAAATACCAAAAATAAAAATAAATATCTGTGTACACACACACCACACACCCACACCCACTTACACACATACACATACACATTTTAGAGGACCCTTAGGGTGTCTGAGCCCAGTCACCTGAATTTTTAGTACTGTGTTGTCAGGCTGTTTCCAGGCCTTGGGTGTTGTCTTTTGTGCTGTGTGGGGATGCCATTGCTGCCTGTACTTAATGATCCTTTCACCATGGGTTCTGAATATTCACCTCACCATGTTTACAGATAACTATTTTGTACATAGAGTTTTTCAGGCACATGCTTTGCATCAATCCTGCGTGGCTCTCGTCTGTGTTAACTGTCACAGTGTGCACACTAATCTGTTGGAAGTTCTTTGTGACTGTTTTACTTGTAAGATAGTTTTCTATTTCCTTCAGTAATGTGTCCACAGTGCCCTGTATTTCGAGTTCTATTATACTAAAGTACTCTTATTTTAATAGTGCCTCCCCAAAGACCTCACCCTGGACAGAGGTCAATTCTCAATGCCCCAGCGCAGGTGACATTGTTAAACTGTCACTTTCCAATTTTTTTCTTCTTTCCTATTATGAAAGATATTTTGTAATTGCATCTCCATGGGCTGTGACTGTGTGAAGCTGTTTGTGTAGTTTCCATGTAGGTGCTGTGTGCCCAGCACCACTTTGCTCTGAACACTGGTAATTCCAGGTGCTGCGCTCGGCAGAGGGGTCTTGCCAAAGCGCACGCGTGTGTGTGTGTTTTGTGTGTGTGTGTGTGTGTGTGTGAGAGAGAGAGAGAGAGAGAGAGAGAGAGCGCATGCATATGTGCATGTGCGTGCATATGTGCGTGCATGTGTCCTTTGCATGGCCGGGCGTGGCTGCCTTGCTCCGGCATCAGCAGGACATTGTGTGAATAGTTACAATGCTTCCAAACTGGAACTCTACATTTTGTATCTTACTTTTAAAAGCTCCTATAAGTAAAGTAACTATTGGCTTTATTAAAAATATACATTTAATAGTATTCTGAATCTTTATTTAAAAATGAACTGCAACAGACATCATGTTAGATGCATTGCTTGACTCATGCTGCCCACATTTGGTTTTTAGGTCAGTCTCTTCTCAGATTCTGAGACTTTTTCAAGGGGGAAGACCACTTAGAGATTCAGGATGAATTGGCATGGGTGAGCAGGAAAAACAACCAACCTCTTGTTGGCTTCCCTAAGGCCATAGATGGTTTAGGCCTCTCAGGTGAGCAGGAAAAACAACCAACCTCTTGTTGGCTTCCCTAAGGCCATAGATGGTTTAGGCCTCTCAGGTGCATCCAATATAGGGGTAAAGGAGACTGTCTTTTGGAAGGATGCAGATGCTCTCAGGGTTGGGGTCTGCTAACACCCACATCCCACCAAGTGTGGGTGATAGTACTTTCTCAGCTAGTCTTTCCAAGGATGAAGACTTATTCCACCCCTCCGCCCCACTCCAGGAACCCCATCTGTGCCAAGAGACCTTGCCTCACAGGGTTAAAAAAGGACCTGTTTCATTGGATGGTGCTGTCCTGCCAAGCAGAAGGAAGACTGTATGATGATGAGAACCATGAATGGATGGAGGGTTATAGGGGAATTTCAATTCAGTTTTACTTGGAGAAAGCAGCACTTCATTGAATTATTTTCATGAATTTAGGAAAATTGAGTAATGTTGTATTAATATATAACCACCAAGGGTAAATACCACTGTGAGATGCCCTGAAATTGAACATAGGGACCAAGTACCAGAGCCTTCCAAATTTACTTCAAGACAAGGTTGCTTAGCAACATCCATGTTTCATGAGTGTAATGAAGAATACACTGAATTCTTACTAAAATGCTAGCAGGGGGCTGAGGTTGTGGCTCAGTGGTGGAGCACTTGTCTACCATGTGCAGGGCCCTGGGTTTGATCCTCAGCACCACATAAAAATAGAAAAAATAAAGGTATTGTGTCCCACTACAACAAAATATAAATACACACACATACACACACACACTCTAGCAGGGCCAGGCACAATAGTGCATGCCTATAATCCCAGTGACTCAGAAGGCTGGGGCAGAAGGATTGTTAAGTTGGAGGCCAACCTTGGCAACTTGGTGAGACTATCTCAAAAAAAGTTTAAAAAGTGGGGGGGGGGGCGTGCAGTGGTTACAGCTGGGTATAGCTCAGTGGCAAAGCATCCCTGAGTTCAATCCCTAGTACCAAAAGGAAAAAAAAAAAGAAAATGCTAGCATGGTCTTGAGGGCTCAGTGGTAGAATGCATGCTTAGCATAGTCAAGGCCCCGAGTTCAATCCCCAGGTCAGAAAATAAGTAATAAAAAGCTAACAAGGAAATTTTAAAAAATATTTTATTCAAATGTTTTCCTATTGTACATAAGCATCTAGTGCTGTTCACAAAAGTGATGAAAATATAAGAGGAGTCCTATTACCTATGTGCCAGACAGGTAGGGATGGAAGTAGAAGAAAAGTTATATCTGAGCTCTTAGAGGGTTCTTGGAGGCCTTGGCCCATCTGAGAAATGAAGGCAAACATACAGGTAGTTGAGGTACTAATGAGGCTTATGACACTCCTTTTCTGCCTGGGGAGATCCAATGAGGCAGAGGCAGGAGGATACTATGTTCAAGGCCAGCCTCAGCAACTTAAAAAGAAAAAAAAAAAAAAAAAAAAAATATATATATATATATATATATATGAACTGGGGATATAGCTCAGTGGTAAAGCACCCCTGAGTTCAATCCTCAGTATCCCCCCATAAAACAAATTGGCCACCTGGGAAGCTCCTGCCACGTGCCAACCATAGGCTGTGAGAGGATTTGCTCTCTATCCTGCTAAGCCACTGTTGTGAGAAGCCTCCTGATGCCAATGGTCAGCTCCTCGACTGTAGGTGGACAACATAACTAGCTGCCTCTCAACTATATCTACCCAGGAGTCCAAGGAATCTCCGGGGACAGGCACCTGGAGGTCACATGCAGCTGGCCTTAAGAGTTTCAAAAAGATAGGCTGGCTATGTGTCAGAAGAGGGGACTGAATATGACTTGTGAGCTGCGGTTGTAGTTCAGTGGTAGAGTGCTTGCCTAGCACGTGTGAGGCACTGGGATCCATCCTTAGCACCACATAAAAATAAATAAAATGAAGATATTGTGTCCATCTACATTAGCAGGAAACTAGATCCTTATCTGCAAGTAAGAGGTTATGGTAGCAAAGGAGAGAAAACACACAAAGTAGAACAAAGGAATAGCAATATTAATATTCCTTTATCAATTTCTAGTATGGCCAGCCAGGTTTACTCTCTTAAGAGCTAATATATATTTCCTGCTAATATATATATATATATATATATTTTTTTTTTTAAATGTGATATGGGCCTAAGTGATGGGTTAAGACTTTTTTCAAGAGTGTCTGCTCAATTCCTAGGGACTGGTCCTTGGTAGAAGCCAGGACTGCAAAGAAAATGTAGCTCCTGCACTTGAAACTCAAAATCTTTTTAGGGGAGACAACCCCATCTTTCCCATTCTTGTTAAAAAAGAGAACTACCACCCGTGCACTCAGGTGCTCAGGCCAAAAAGAAAAACATTCTTGATTCCTCCTTCCCTTACTCTCAGCAAGTCCTATACGTGTATCTTAAAGCACACTTACCAACCAGGTCCACCCGTCCCCTCCCTCTTCCTCTACAGCCTCCACGCTTTCCTGTGCACACATCCTTCCTTCCTCCCCAGGACTGCCTGTAGTTCTGAACAGGGTAAGGCTCCATCAGTTTTCTCAGACCACTGCCAATCTTCCAACGAGGCTTTTACCCCTACTCATAGCACTTAGCGCTGTCCTGGCATTAGTGTGTTTGCATTTGTTCCTTCCACTAGAAAGTCTGGTACACGTCCACATCACCAGGGTACGGGATAGTGCCTGGGACCACCGCCAAACCCAGAAATTAGCTAATTCTAATAAAAAGGGGTGTGAAGTACACTGCGTGGTCATCAGAAATGCGAGGAGGGACTAACGCTGGAAGCTGAGAATCGGATTATGAAGGCCGATCTAATAAGTTTAGTATTTTCTATTCTCATGGACATCACACCTATATACGGTGGGGAAATGTTTTTGAAAGCCTTTGCACCGGGTTCCTAGAGAAAACCTGAGGACAACGCTGCGGAAAGAGAAAACCCCGTGGCCAGCGTTACAGAGGGGGCGTTATCCCACTCCCGTGTACATACGCACATCCGCCCATAACCGGAGCATGCGCACACGCGCGCACTACATCCATCCCAGACGTGCGGAGAGAAACGTTCGTCAGTTCACTTGCCTTTCTAGGCTCCCTACTCTGTGCGGGCACATGCGCACACGAGCTCGCCCCGCCCATCCCGGACGTGCCATCCCACACGGAGACGCGAGCGCGCCCCTCCTCCACCAGTCCCTGTGCGTGAGCGCGTCTTCCTGCGCGTCGGTTGGCGCTCGCCTCCCCTGTGGAGAGTGTGCCAGTCTTTGGGAGCCCGCACCCGGCCCTCGCGGCACACCGTGACTCAGCATCTTCGGTGGTGTGCTTCTTCCAAGTCCGTCTGCGTGGATGCGGCGCGCCCTGCTTCCGGCCTCCCGCCCCAGAACTAACCCTTTTCTTGAATCTGCCCCTTCGCCCAAGTCCCCTGCCCCGGACTTTTGCCTTCGCACCCTTGACCACCTGGCCTCCTGGGCCTGCTAGAGCCCTGTCCAGCTAGCTACCCTGAATTAAGGCCTGACTTATCCAAGTGCCCTCGTCTCGGTTTCCCCATCTTTAGGACCATGCTCTTGTTGGGTCCCAACATAGGCTGTAGTAAAAAACTCAATGGGAGTCACCTGCTTCTCCTGGTCTGCTTTATCAGGAGTTAACAGTCCCTGCCCTTTTTAACTAGCCTTAGGATCAGATTCCCTCCTCAGCCTCAGCCGTTCCACTTGCAGGTGGCAGATCATCTTGTAGAAGGCCCTTAAGGGTGACCAGCACTGGAATGGGATTTCTTTTTTTTTTGGGGGGGGGGAATTATTCATCTTAGTACCAGGTCTGGGTCACTTTTCCCCTCCCAAGATCCGGGCACTTTTGAACTCTGTACTCTGTGGTTTGCAGCACTTGGCACAACATAAGGTTTTGGTGATGCGAGCAGAAAACAGGATTTGACAAGTTTTAGAATATAAAATTACCTTAAACTGATGTTTTTCCAAACTACACATTCCACTCCCCAAGATTCAGAGATGCCACCCCCAGACGTAGATGACTGATCACCACCCTGTGTGTACTCCCCGTCTTTCCTAGGGAAGTCGCCCCAGTGCCCTACATTAATAATCCAAGAGGACAAATGTTGATAAAATCTTTCTACCAGATCTTTCTACCTCTCTGCATTTGCCCAGACTGCTGTCTTAGCTTCTGAGTTGCCATTTTGGTCCATTTCCACGTGTAAATTCTACTCTGGGCTGGGGATGTGGCTCAGGCGGTAGCGCGCTCGCCTGGCATGAGTGCGGCCCGGGTTCGATCCTCAGCACCACATACCAACAAAGATGTTGTGTCTGCTGAGAACTAAAAAATAAATATTAAAAATTAAAAAAAAAATAAAAATAAAAAAAAATAAATTCTACTCTGCTATTTAGTGTTAATATTATAGAGTTTAAGTTGATATTAGAATTGGGATGAGAGAGAGACAGGGGATCCCTGATTCCCTACTTTTCTTAAATTTTTTTTCCTAAGATGGCAGGAAAAAAAGCCAGGAATTTGTGAAAAGGACAGGGTTGATATAAAATCTCCATTAACTCATTCTCAGCCATTTTTTATTCTCTATTTTGAGTCAGGATCTCTCTTAATTACTAAGGCTGTCCTCCTGCCTCAGCCTTCCAATTCGATAGGATTATAGGTATGCCCCACTTGTGCCCTGCTCAAATTTCTTAACCTCTTTTTTAAATATATATATATATTTTAGGTGTACTTGGACACAATACCTTTATTTATTTTTATGTGGTGCTGAGGATCGAACCCAGGGCCTCACACAT